CACATGCACACACACACAGACACACATTTCATCCCCAGCACACACACAAGCACGCATATCACCCCCAGCACACACACTGCACTCAAGCACAAATACAGACACTGCATCTCCAGCACAAACACACATACACACTACATCCCTACACGCTGCAGCCAAAAGCACGCACATCAACACTGCATCACCAACACAAACACATTCACACACATTACATCCCCAATCTAATTATACATTCCAAACACACCCTACTTCATCAGCACACACAGTATATTCATTACATACACACTGCATCCCCAGTAAAAACATACTACCCCCCCCACACACACACACACAGTACCTCCCATACAAAATACAACATCCTCTATACACATAGTGATAGAATCTACTCTGCACAAACACTCACACTACAGTAACAGAAACCTATAATCAATAAACCTAGAAATTCCAAATGGCAAAACATAGATGCTGGTCATCCAAAAGCTGGGGGCAGCATTTCATCCTTGTTCCAGGCAGCACAATGTCTTTGGCCAGCCCTGGTCCACACCCTATGAAATATCTGGGCATCAAATTGACGTAGAATCCCAATAACTTATACACTGAAAATCACTTGCCCATGATCCGCACACTCTTAAAAGACCTGGACACCTGGCACGAGAAACCCATCTCGTGGATAGGACGACTGCACAGCATTAAAATTAACCTACTGCCACGCCTTCTGTTCCTTTTCCAGGCATTACCAGTGAAAGTAACTAGGGGAGATCTTAAAGCTCTCCAAGCAGCAATAGATTACTTCATCTGGGCTAGAAAGAGGCATAGATTTGCAAGACATACATTGTATACCCCCAAAAGTAGAGTGGGACTGGGATTGCCCAACTTCCACCTCTACTACTTATCAGTCCAGCTGGCACAAATAGTGGAATTGCACTCGCCACCAGACGCCCGCTGATGGGTTGACCTGGAAGCGCTTCTCATGAGCACTGACCTTCCCCAGTTCTGGATATGGGTTCCCAGGGTGGATAGACCTGAGATCCGCACTATCTGCCTGGCAATCTAAAACTAAGAATATGGGACTGCCCACAAATATTCCCTAAAAAAGTACACCATCACCATTAACGCCAAACCTTCACAATAAAGCATTTGAGCCCGGTTTAAGAGCTAGAGACTTTAGGGGCATTGAAAATACAGGTATACAGCGTTACTCAGTGGTGTATCCTGGTTTTGTGCTGACCTAGGCGTTCCCCAAATCCCCTCCCAACCCCCCCACATGCATGACCCCCACCCATCCCTTCCCCCCCGCTCCGCCTACTAAATACACACACACTCACTGACCGATACGCATACACTAGCTAACAGAAACACAAACTCACTGACACACACAGACACTCACTCACTAGCAGACACACTAGCAGACACACACACACTCACTGACACACACACTCACAGGCAAACATACACACACAGTCAGACACACACACACACACAAACACACTCACTCACTAGCAGACACACACACTCACTAGCAGACACACACTAGCAGACACAAACACTCACTGACACACACTCACATGCAAACACACTCACACTAACTGTCAGACACACACACACACTCACTAACAGACACACTCACTAACAGACACACACACTCACTCACTAACAGACACACACACTAACAGACACACTCACACACACACTAACAGACACACTCACACACTCACATTAACACATTTTTTTTAACCCCCCCCCCCTCCAGCCTCCTTACCTTTGGGAATGCTGGGGGGGGGAGGGTTCCATTTCTCCTGGGGGTCCAGTGGCTGCTGGGCGCTGGGCGGGCAGCTGGCGAGGGAGCTCTTCCTCTGAGCGGTCTGCTCAGATCCCTCGCGCGCCTCAGAGTGAGGCTGGGAGCCGGAATATGACGTCATCTTCCGGCTCCCAGCCTCACTCTGCGGCGCGCTAGGGGAGCTGAGCAGACAGCTCAGAGGAAGAGCTCCCTCGCCAGCCGCCCGCCCACCCAGCGCCGCCCGCCCGCTCGGCATGTCTGTTAGCAGCAAGGCTAACAAGGCAAATGCCGCCCAAGGCAAATGCCGCCCAAGGCAAATGCCTTGTTTGCCTCGCGGCTAAAACGCCCCTGGCGTTACTACCACCTATACAACACTGACACAATCAGACCCTTTGAAAACCTAAAGACCCTGGCCCCATTATCCACCAAGGACCACTTTAGATATATTCAACTTCAAGATTTCGCCAGACACGCCCAAGTGAGAGGGGTCACGAACAGGCCTCATCACACATATGTACGCACAACTAAGCGCGCCAGACGGCGATGACAAAACACCCACATATGTAACCCAATGGGAAAAAGACCTACACCAAACATTGGACAACAGGGAGTGGTAGGACATCTGGGAGGCAGCTGAAAAGGTTTCCATCTGCGTACTACATCAGGAACAATGCTACAAAACACTTATGAGATGGTACACCACACCAGTCAAACAATATAGAATGGATAAAACAACCACATACATATGCTGGAGGGGATGTGGGGAGAAAGGAACATATGTCCACATGTGGTGGACATGTCCAAAGGCAGTGGGGTTCTGGAATATGATAGCGCAGCTCCTGATGGAGGTTCTGCACAGACCATTTATGACAGACCCATGGACCTTCCTTATAGCAAGACCAGTAGACGCACTGACTAACAAACAACAAAAACTAGCAAATAAAATAAATCTAGCAGCCAGGAGAGCTATGGCACAAACATGGCTGAACGTGGACATGCCACAGATGGTCAGGGTCATTCACAATATCAAAGAGGCATACTTAATGGAAAAACTCACAGCACAAGTACTAGACATATGCACTCTTTACAAAAATCTGGGAACCTTTGGAGGTCTACGCCGACCGTTGAGAAAAATGTCAAAGTGGGGATGGGGGCTTTCGCTGCCCCAGCTGGGGACAGACACCACTCCCTCCCATCCCTACCCATTGTGTTTTTCTTCTCCTTCCTCTTCCCCCTCCTCTCTTTTAATTTCTCATACACTTTCTCTTCCAAAAATTAAAGGTTCATGTCTACATATAGTGATCATGAGGTACATCAGCACTACAGGGCATTGCAGAAAGGCTCAGCACAATTTTTGACACTGCTATGCAGCAGGGTTTCACACACAAGATTTCATGTGTCCAACACACTTACCATACTCCCATATACAAGAGGAGAGTTAAAAATGGGTCGTAAGAGAATACTGAGAACGGGCAGCAGCTGAAATAGCCTGCCCTTCGGTCGGTCCCCGCTCAGTTCTCAAGCTGATTTTTGCTCATCTTGTGCCATTACAGAGAGAACATATCTGAAGCATATCAGACTGGTCCCACCCATACAGACAGTCCAGATCCAAAATGCCAGCAAGTTCTCTCTGCACGAGAGATACAACAACCCCAGACGATCGTTTCAGCCTTGTTAGGCATCATCAGTGAGGCATAGCTGATATCTCCCTAGATATCTCCCTGATATCACCGTGAGCAAGGGGTCCACGTCTGGATTATCCCTTTAAACTTGTGGAAAGTCAAAAATGGGTCGCAAGAGAATACTGAGAACGGGCAGCAGCTGAAATAGCCTGCCCTTCGGTCGGGAGCACATACATTAGACCTGTCAACCTAGATTAAAGACAAATGCTGTAATGCTAATGTACATACACCTGATGCACTTGTGCTTCCTCCAATGTGAAACCTGTTGAAACTTTATACCAATGTTAATTCATTGTGCCTCACTGTTTACTATATTTGTTGATTGCCGTGCCTTCTGTCAATGTGACTTGATATGCATGAACTGATAAATAAAGATTTTTTTTTAAAATAGCATATACTAACTTATTTTGCAAAAGACCTCCAGCAAGTGGACTTTCATAGTCCAAGCATTCTGAGGGTCTGCAGAACAAACAAGCACCGGGCTAATCTTAGTTTTTCATACCTAGCAGCTGCACCATATAGATAATTCTCCAGATGTAAAAAATGCCACACAGCAGTCTGGGAGATGGGTGTATTCGCGGTGAATCAAATGCAAACGGAAGATATGTCATGAATTACATTTGCTATGTTCTGTTGATGGACATACTGGCCAGGATCCAGTTAAGCAGTAATACTACACAAATATGTTCAACCCCTCAAAATATGCGCCAGGAATGTTGCTAATACATTGGGAACATAGCAGCTGCTTCATTGCTCTTCATCTACACAGTCCATGACTGGGTATCACCAGAGTAAACGTCTCTAACCATTACTAAAATTCATAGGTTGAATTTGTAGTGAAGCCATCAATATTCTGTGCCTCTTCTTTGTACATTTCAGGAATTAAATACATTATAAATTATTGCAGTACAGTCTAAAACATAGGAAAACCCATTACTATTTTAAGTGTTATTTGGTTGGAGTCTAGTTTGTCAATTATGACGTTCAAGACAGTGAGTGAAGTTCTCCGGTAGGTCGAGCATCAAGGAAAGGTCCTTGAGTTCTGTTATTAGTTCTACATTTAAATATGCCTTAATGTCTGGACCTTAGCTCAGTGCTGTGCACATTTATTTAGGAGACATTAAACTATATCTATCTTCTTGAAATCTTGATGCATACTTGTAGTTTGTATGAGAGATTAGTGGAAATTATAACAACATTAAACACTTTTCAATATAAATTTTTAAATAATTTTGTGATAATGTTAGTGAGAAATGACATTTTAAAAATACATTGAAACTGAAAAATGTGATCAACACTATGTTTCTAATAGCACAGGATTAATAAGGTACGTAAGCAATAAAAAAACAACAACAAAAAAACAACCTAAATATATATCCGACTCTGTGCCGTATTTCATTTTGATTTGGTTGGTATTATTCAGAATCCAATGGGATGTATTGCTGTCAATCCTAGTTATTGTGATAATCATTTATCAAGGCATTAATGTGGTCATATGACACCTATAAAACTATTGTAGGACAAATCACCCAAAAGACAGTTTTGCAAAACACGTTTTTATTATCCATCATGATAGTCACATAAAAAACAGCATTTGCAGCAACACTCATTGGATTGAAATACCCAATTTCACTCAACACCCAAAATGCAAACATCCCTGAAGCTTGTTTAAAGAAGTATATGATCTATCAGTGGAGCTCCTATGTGAAAGAATAGTTTAAAACGTTCACAGTTACCTTAATTACAACATTTACCTTAACTATATTCATAAATCAGTTTGCTGTAGTCACATGTAAACCAGTGTGCAATGTATAGGCCAAAATACTTGAATTCAAGAGAAAAATAAATTATATATATATATTCATTCTTGTTTCACAATGAACTGAAAAGTTGTAACATTTAGACCAGAATAGCAAAGTGGGAATACAGGTGATTGCAGAATTTTTCAAAACAGTTATTATAGCACAATTCACATTTTCGTGACTAAACCTGAGAAACAGAATTGTGAAATTGTGAGCGAATAGTGAAGAGTGCATATCACGCTGTCTTGTTACCAAGACACATATTTTCACACTCAGCATTTCACTGGCCCTTTTTATAATCTCCCTGAAGTCTTATCATTTTAGGGCAAGGTTGGCTGCTATTAAATTCAGTTACCCATTTTACCTTGATTTTGCAACTCAGGTCTCAATTCAACTCAATGAATCACACCCTTGCTGCCTTGGAGACTACGATCTCTTTATATCAAGCTTGCGACTTCAACAATGTGCAATGTTTGCGACTATGTCTTTAAATATGTAATAAGCAATAACATATATTTAAAAAGAGCAACTGTCCCCTGTACTGTCTGCTTTGCAATATGTTTTCAGCAGATGTTGGCTCATTAAAGCCAACTCATTGGCTTTGTCACTAGATAAATTAAACATTATTATCTGTCTGTTTTATCATTTTATCGTTTTTGCTGTTTATTCTCTTTTCTTTTGAGTAGGACACAATTCACCCCTTACATACTAAATCACTATATATTTCATAATATTTATAATTATGAAGTTAATTTTGATGTTAATGTTATTGAGGAGTCTATCCACTAAAATGATAGTAACTCACAAAATAGATTTACATAATAGCAGAGCTGATATGTGCCAGAGTGGAGATTTTATTAATGAATAGACCCCAGAAAATGTAAGTGACAATGCAAGCCTGTTTTATGGCCACTAGTATTAGCACAAGCAAAGAAACAACATACAAACATCAACACACACATCTATACAATTAATCATAAACGATCACCTCTCTAAAAATCAAACTACCAGCTTCCGTACTCTCATTTAGTTACAGCAGCATCCAAGCTAAATTACAAAATAAAATATGTATATTGGGTGCAGCCAGATCATTCTGCCTAGAGCACTTTAATATGTTAGTATGAGTGTCCCAATCAAGTGAGCCTCTATTTTCCTCATTATGGAAAGAATATCTGAGGTGGCTTTAGGGAACAGCTGTTAAACCATGCAGGTTTTCATAGGTAAAAGAGAACTATAATTGGGGAAGCTTAAAGGACCACTATAGGCACCCAGACCACTTCAGCTTAATGAAGTGGTCTGGGTGCCTGGTCCAGCTAGGTTTAACCCTTTTTTCTATAAATATAGCAGTTTCACAGAAACTGCTATGTTTATAAATGGGTTAATCCAGCCTCTAGTGGCTGTCTCATTGACAGCCGCTAGAGGCGCTTCCGCGCTTCTCACTGTGATTTTCACAGTGAGAAGACGCCAGCGTCCATAGGAAAGGCGGAGAGGAGGAGAGTTCCCCGCCCGGCGCTGGAGAAAGAGGTAAGTTTAACCCCTTCCTCCCCCCAGAGCCCGGTGGGACGGGGACCCTGAGGGTGGGGGCACCCTCAGGGCACTATGGTGCCAGGAAAACGAGTATGTTTTCCTGGCACTATAGTGGTCCTTTAATTTAGTAGGATGGAATATAGACCAATTTAAGTTTCCTGACTGATTTACATGTTAAAATACATATAAATATGCCATTGCTCAAAAAAATAATCGATATAGTAAAGATCTAAATTGTATCATAGATGTGTATTCCATAATGACAATTCAGATCATACAGTATATTGTACAAACAGAGGTAATTTAGGGAATATACGTATCCACATTTGAAGATTCATTCCACACTATAATATATAATTTTATAATTGCTTAATTAATTGGCTGAGAACATCAGCTGACACACTCAGACAATGACCAAAGTTGGATAGAATTGATTTAAAGCATAAAAGGCACATCTACTTCAGTGATATCACAGAAGACTGGAAGGCCCAGGTGGACAAGGGGACCCTCGTGAAGGATTGATAAGTGTTCAGGGGACCCAGGAAAGAGCCAAATAATTTGCAAATAGTTTGACACCTTACCATGAAACAGCACCAGGCGACTCATGGCATCATAATTACTAAAGCATGCAGATTGGCTGATGGAGAATAAAGCTTTGTCCAATAACCGCAAGAAGTTGTCACCCTGCACTACTAGGTTCTCAATCTGCAATCAGTATAAAACAAATAATTTAGGAATCAAACTATACTTCATCGTTATATCTATCAGTTCACTGTGGGAATTTAGGGTAATTCTGGTTTTATTCCTTTTTTATTTTGTTTTAGAGTTGGAAAAGAAAAAAGAATACTGAGAGACCTTGCTGCTTTTTTTTTTTAGCAGAATCTAGAATGTACTGCTGTTACATTGTCACAATAAGGGACCTGAAATCAATTTTGAAATCACCTTTTAAATCCTGGGGTACCCAGCACCCTGTTTGTGTATGGAATGTTTGGACTTACTTTTACTTAAAATATTGTTTGTCAAATGGCACTCCTCAAATTATCAGGGTGGAAATCTCAATAAAAATGGCCATACCAAGGGATCTCAGTGCTCCAGACAATTTTATTTCTCCAAAGTCTACGGTTACAATTTCCTCATATAACATAGAGAGACTGAAAAGTGCTTGTGTAGCTTGGCACTATAGCTGGGTTGTGCCACAAGGACCCGCTGCTTGTACGCAGTATCTCCACTTTGCCTGGATGGCACTGCTGTCATGACATCACTATACACAACTCAATTTAAGTTAAGGAAGTGTAGTCTTGTGGCCTCAACAGCCAACAGGCATTTTCTATCCTGAGGTTCCTGAGAATGATGTACTCACTTCACTGTTGCCCTAGGTAAACATATGCTTTATATGGCGTGATCTGTAAACGAGAAAATAACTGATTGCTTTAAGTGAGGAGAAACCTAAGTGTCATTCACCTTTTGTCAAAGTTAACATTTACTTACAACGTTGCAGGTTATTTCAGTGTTTAAGGTTTGCATATATACAAAATGTACAAATACAATAATATATGTTATTGTGTGTCCCAGAGCAGAATTACGTGAACAAAACTAAGTCAGTTCATGGATGTAATCACTCAAAACTGCTTCCAAGGGGAGGACATTACAAAAAAAAAAAAAAACAGTCTTGGTTCTTCATGTCCAGCATGTAACTAGATTTGTTGACAACACAATAGCCTTTTATTAATTTTACCATTTGTATTTTTTTTTTGTCCCGTGTGCTTTGTCTTCATTGCAGGTACCGTATTTTTCGCTCCATAAGACGCACCTCACCATAAGACGCACCTAGTTTTTAGAGGAGGAAACCCAGAAAAAAAAATATTCTGAACAAACTGTTCCATAGTGTTTCTTACCATGGGACAGTTTGTTCAGAATATTTTTTTTTCTCCCCTGTCCCATAATGATCTTTAACCCCCCTTTCCTCTGTCCCATAGTGATTGTTAACCCCTCCTACCCTGTCCCATAGTGATTGTTAACCCCTCCTACCCTGTCCCATAGTGATTGTTAACCCCTCCTACCCTGTCCCATAGTGTTCTTTAACCCCTCCTCCCCTTGTCCATTAGTGTTCTGATCCCATAGTGTCCCCCCTCCCATTGTCCCATAGTGCACTTTCCCTCCCATAGTGTCCCCCCCTGCCCTTGTCCCATAGTGTCCCCCCTCCCCTTGTCCCATAGTGTCCCCCCCTCCCCTTGTCCCATAGTGTCTCCTCCCCTCCCCTGTCCCATAGTGTCTCCTCCCCTCCCCTTGTCCCATAGTGTCTCCTCCCCTCCCCTTGTCCCATAGTGTCCCCCCTCCCTTTCTCCCATAGTGTCTCCCCTCCCTTTCTCCCATAGTGTCTCCTCCCCTCCCCTTGTCCCATAATTACTTACCTGTCTTGGAGCGTGGGCCGGCTTCACAGCGCGCTCCGCGGTCCAGGAACTAATATTTCAGGTTCCGGTTTCCGGCGGGACTGAAAGGAAGTGTGCACACTCAGTGTGCACACTTCCTTTCAGTCCCGCCGGAAACCGGAACCTGAAATAGAAGTTCCTGGACCGCGGAGCGCGCTGTGAAGCCGGCCCACACTCCAAGACAGGTAAGTAATTCTTCACATTCGCTCCATAAGACGCACAGACATTTCCCCTCACTTTTGAGGGGAAAAAAAGTGCGTCTTATGGAGCGAAAAATACGGTAATTCAGTATGCCATTTGCTATTGTTAATTCTTTCAGTTTTTGTGCATGTGGCATTCATTGTCTTGAGAGTTTCCAGTTACGTAAAGGAAGAATGTATGACATAACAGGAACAAAAAGCAGGAAACCCCTTAGAGTAGTCAATCAATAATCAGTTCAATCTTTTTTGGAAGCTGGTAACTAGAAAAGTGAGTGTATTACTTTCCTGCTAGTCTCATCTAATGAAAATAACTAATTGTTTAATTTTCATTTAAAACATTGAGACTTATTGTCTAGGAGAATCACACAGACAGACGAGACATTATTTTCTTTTCTGTATTAACACTTTGTAGGTCAGTCCTTGAAGGCAGGAGAGAGAAAACAATTTCTCGATGGGTCTCTTATTGGGTTTTTAATATAACTTAAGGTAAATAATAATTAACTGTGAATTACCTAGAAAGCAAACTCAGTTGCTAGTTAGGATTTATGTTTTACATCCGAAAGTAGGCAAACCTGCTATAGTACATAATGCTTTCCTGAGCAACCTGCTGACCTTGTATGCGTTTAATATTATCAAAGGAAACTATGTATTTCTAGTGCTGAAAGCCTGCTCAGCACATTATCTATAAATTGAACTTTCATTTTTGTTCTCTTCCAGAAACACGTTTTCCATGTTTGGTAGGAGTCCACAATTTAATTACAATATTTCCGTAACCGTAACGGGAAAATGTCCAGCCTATTTTATTATTCAGCTCTGCTGAATTAAATAAACCATCAGTGCATATAACATCTTACGTAATGTAACAAATCTTTGCCCAGATTCTGAAATTCTAGTTCCTTTCATTCTTTTTAAACCCAAACAACTGTATTCATGTCAAACCCCGAGTTTACACGATCAGGTTCCTTCTGACCATTTTTGGCAAGGTTGCCAATTCCTTTAACATTATTTTTGCCAGTTTTTTCATATCTGCCATGAGAACCTTTCGTGTCACTCTGAGATGGAAAATAAAATATGCCTTTTTGTTTGCTTGAAATTTTATGTCTCTTAGATATTTGAATAGTTTGTTCTTCTGCCTGGAGCCAGCCAGGCTTTTCCTTTAAAAGTTTGTCTCTATCTGGCCGAACACTTCTCAGGAACTTCTTAAAAAAGTTGGTTGTTAAGGATATTTTTTTATAGATGTCTTGAGACTTGCTAGAACTCACCAATTTGACATTCCTATCACACTTTCTTTCGAGCTCTGGCAAATCTAACCAATTTCCAACAAGATCAGCAAAAATATTGTCTCCCAAAACAAGGGGCTGCCTGTTTCGGCTTTGTGACATGAGAGATGATGTCCAGTCTTTTGCCTCTTCAGAAAATGGTTCATCTATGCATTTTTTGTAATCATGTTGAATATTTGTACCATCTGTCAAATGCTGGCCCTTATGGTCTTCAGTAAGTCGTGGTTCATAGTCTTCGCAGGTTTTCCAAGTCTCTGCTGCAGGCAAGATGGAAGAGGAATATGTGTGCCTTGTGTCAGTCTCCTTTTGTTTAGATGACACCTGATGCCCTTGCGTTGTGCCATGTACAGAGAAAGAGTGGAATGAGCTTGAAGCAGAAGACCCTCGGCTGGTTTCCAAAGAGCTGTTGTCTAGACTTCTCCCACCTGCTATTGATTTTTCAGCCTGTTGGCTGGACCAATGCCTGACCTCAGAAGTCTCCCATTCATTTTGGCAATGCTGACTCTGTTCCACGTTGTAGATGTAATTTTGTTCTCCTGAAATTTCCAGCTGCTGTAAGGCTGCTTGAACTTGGAGAAGCTTCAGTTCCTGCAGAGCACCCATCATACTGTTCATCTGCTCTTGCAAGCCTTCTCCAACTTCTTTCATTGACAACTGCAGAGAAGAACACAAAAGCTTTGGTTACAAAAGGATACTGAAACACACAATCAAAAATATTTCTTAATATAGCTAAATCTAGCTGTGAATGTCATTCTATTTATAGAAAAAAAAACAGATCTTGTTATCAGCAGCTTGGGATGATTGTCAGGCACCTGGACAACCATATATTGCCAGTATGCAAAAAAAAAATATTAAACTAAACATGTATGCTTCTATGGGCTTTGCTCAAATTAACAATATATGAAATTTGAATAAAATGTTTGCCTTATTCATAATGTACATTTTATTAGCTTTGTGATACATTTGCCTTGACCCATTCTTTAGTTGTTATATAGATTATACATTTCATTCTATTCAGTGAGATTTCCATTGTGTTTAGGGAAAACAGTGCTGATACAATAAACAACTTAATGTGGACAGTCATCTGAGCCCTGATGAATATGATGTGCCTGCTCCCACCATTAAAGACCCACTGAAGTAGCATCATGGCACACCAGAGTCCAGGACCAGAAGCTAAGGACTATTGACCTTGAAAGATATTTTCAAAAACCCTGTTTTTGGTTGAAGTAACCCTTTAATGTACAGGTATATCCCAAAAAAACATCCAATCTTCAACAAATATTATATGTGATAACCATCATGTCTTCTTCTGTCAGAGTCATACTTTTATTTGGTCTTTTTAAATTAACTTCATGCAAAAAATGTATCTTATAAATCTTAGTAGAACGACCTTTAACATACAGTAATGAAGTGAAGGTCTCTCCAGTTCCCTAATTCATTAAATTATTTTCACCCTTGTTGTCATTTGTGATAAGATATTAGGTTTCTAACATCTGATGATACAGCTAATGATCAATACACGATGACAGGTGCTCGTGGTTTCACCAGGCTCGTCTCTCCATCTGAGGCTCTATAAAAAGAATTTTAGCACTCACTCACATTTTTTCACTCACACGCAAAAGGGACAGGCAGGGCTGAAAGCATTAACACATTCCAGCCAGAAGAAATTGGATTTACCACATTTAACCCCTTAAGGACACATGACATGTGTGACACGTCATGATTCCCTTTTATTCCAGAAGTTGGTCCTTAACGGGTTAAATCACGAATTAAAAAAAAAAATATTGATAAACACTCAAGTAGCAGACATTAATGTGATGTAAAACGATCATAAAGAGAAGGTTGGTAGTAAAATACATGCATCCAAATGCTTCCTGCTCTTACATTTGCTTGGTCCCCAGAAATATAATAAAGAAATGGGTAACCTGGGAATATCATTGTAATTACACCAAGCACACAATCTACGTGCACTGTATATTGAAGGACTGATACATTATAGCATTATGTAGAGTCATGTATGTTTAAATATTTCCTAACAGATTTCAGCGATGCAAACGGTTTTGACACTAGACTCAATGCTCTGAGGCACCAAGAACGGCGGCGGCAGGCTGCAGCCTACTGGAGACCGAGTGGTGGAGAGACAGCCGCTTTACTCCCTTTGATTCAAGCAACGCTAACTGCAAATCTCCTACCCGCCCCTCCTCTGGACCGGAGGGGGATATCCCGGTCCCCTCTGGACAGTCAGCTATACCGGCTGTCTACCACTCAAACTGAGCAGATGTTGAACCACTAGCCAACATCCCATTTGCTCAAACACACGTGGCACAAATGCAACCTTTAGTGGCTCCATTGCATATTCCCAGTGGCGGCTAAATCGGATCTTTGAGAAATTCTGGCTGAATATTCAAGCTCGCAACGCAGACACCACAGCCAATAGGCCTGTACAGCGGAAGGGAAACAGGAGAACTAGGCAGCCGAGTGTGGTGAAGCCACCTTAGAGCACAAGACCTAAGATGAAGCTTACACAACCCTGTGACCGCTCACTAAGGTCGACAGCCATCCAAGGTTTGACCTCCAGGTATCATCCACGTGGCGAAAGATTAAACAGCTGCGACTGCCACTCTCCTCTTTCGCCCTCTCCCTGACGGGGATAGACTTGGTGCCACGATAAACCCAAGTCTGTGGAATAAAGATGACGGCCCTAATGCAGGCCTGGGGAAACGTTTGCCCATGAGGTGCAACAACCTTGCCGCTTAGAGGAATCGGCTGAACATGCTCCTGGGACTGCCACCTGAGCATACTCTCTCCAAGATAACAGGAGATGCCATTCTGTGTGTTTTGAATGCCATGCAAAAGATTACTCTTTCGTTATGATTTTTCCTTCTGTATGGTTTTCACGCTCTCTAACACTGTATGATCTCCTATAGATGTGGTACAGTACCATAATGCTACCTACCTACCCTACCTATTTGAAGCAAGTAACCATGGTCTTCTAGCCTGTTAACACCAACTAATGCTGTATAGCCTGACTAATTATCGGCTAAAGCACCACATTCTAACATTTGACCTATACTGACAAGGTAACACAGAGTGGAAATGTTAACCTCTTAAGGACACAGCTTCAGAACCTTGTCTTACGCTTAAGAACACAAGCCATTTTTGCAGAAAATGAGGGGGGGAAATTTTTTATTTTTACATATATGTTGTATTTTTGCTGAGTATTTCTTACACTTGATATGTACCACTGTCATAAAAATCCCCAAATAATGCTCAGTTACATCTTCTGAGTAAAACAATATTCCCAATGTATGACCATATGTTTCTAAGTGTGGCAGTTAAAATGGCACAAATTTTTTTTAAATAACATGAGGTTAACGGGCTTTTAAACATCAGTGGTTTATATATTAGCATGCTGGACTAAACATATATATATATAACATATATATATAAAACACGGTTAATTGCGCTGAGGCTTCTAAATATTAAACATTGCATCGATAAACTAGACAGCTGTTATGCTTAGGGTGAGATTACATTGTCGACTACAGGGAAATACCAGCAGATTCACCATCCGTTTGTACAAGCTTAAGGTGCCCCTTTAGTGAGGACTGGCTAATAAAATATTGCATGCGCTATTAGAGTGGAGACAAGGTAGGCACCACATTAGTAAACTGCAAGAGGTAAAGGTAAAATAAAGACATTGGAAGAACATCTGTTACTCGATGCTGAACTAACGGTCAGAGATCCGTTCCTGCGACATAAGGCATACTGTGAAAGTCCTGCTGTAACGAGACATGCCTGGCAGACTCCGATCTCCAGTCTATGTTCATCCGATCCCTTCCGGTCGCCAGATGCAGTCTCCGGGAGCCCCTGTCTCCTGAGACTTCAGAGGTGTAGATATGACTAGGTGCCAGGTATCTGGGTGGTAAAGTCGCGCTTTAGCAGTCGATCTGCGTTGTCCTGGTGGGCATGGCGCCTCTAGTCCGCTGTGGGATTGTTGCAGCTTACATTGGGGGTGTGTGGTTGTCATGGTGAAGGCTCTACGTTTCTGCTTGTGCCACCGGACCTGTTTTCGGTGTCTCTTTGGGGGGTCTCTGGCGGCTATCATTCTGCGTCCCCTCTTGGTGCCCGGGAGTGCGGGTGCAAGAGTGGTACGATTAGCTTTAGCCGTGTTCAGTGCCCTCTCTGCAATCCTGGTCCAGAAGGCAGCAAAAATTGCATCTAGCTTAGTCAGGGTGTAGTTTGGCGATTTTCCGATTGTCTCCATGTTTGCTGACTGGCGTGTGGTATCCGCCATTTTTGAGTCAGGGACTCGTGGTGTTTGCAGTCTTTGGGACGTGAGTGTCAGCGGTGGGTATGCTGCTGGTGCCGGGATATCCCCCACTCCGCAGTGTCTGAGTTTGCTTTCAGGGGGTTCCGGGCCAGGCGATCGGCCGCCTCACCCATGCCCTCACCTCTGTCCAGGCCGCTATTCAGGCTAGTCGTCATTGCGGTAGGCCCCATCAATGCAGCCCGCATTCCTGGCGGCTTAGAGTTTCAGGAGTAACTTCTGTATGTTCTCCTTTGCAGCCCCTACCTGGGTGATGCAAATTCAAACACTTTTGCAGCATGAGAACTGGGGTTATTTCGAGTAAAGTAGGATTTCAGACGAGAGCTCTTGCTGCACGTGTCTGATCAGCTCCCCAGCCAGGCTCCGCCCCCCCGTAATGAGCATTTTTAAATGTATTTTTTTACATTTTTTTATGTATTTTTTGGTATAATATTGTGGTCTGTATTTTGATCACTGTAGGTAATGATCAACTGGCAGGGAAGAAGTTAATTTTTATTAGGACTGGGTAAAGGGGGGTGGGATTTTTTTTACTTTTTTAAAAAACTTTATTAAAACATTTTTTTTAACTTTGTAAAACTTTTTAAAAAAACTTTTTTAACGTTAACCCCTAGCTAGCCTAACACCAAATTCCCCAATTTCCCACTAACTCCCACCCACCCAGCTTGCTAAATATATCATTTTAATTTAATATATTTAAATTAATAAATAAAATAAAATTAACCCCTGATGGTTACAAAAAAGAAAAGTTGACCCTCGGTGGTTAAAAATTTTTTTTTAAAAAAAATCAGATCACAGTAAAATGTAGTCCCTGCCAATTGATCGCTGTAGTCAGTGATCAATTGGCAGGGAAGGGGTTAATTTATTATTTAAAATGGGGGGGGGATTTTAAATTAACTTTATTTATTTTTTAACAGGGAGAAGATCAGCAGTGATCTGTCTCCCTGCCCTTCACACTAGAAGTGGAAGAGCAGGGAGGAGGATCAGAAGTCCCTGAAGCACGTGTGCTCACTCTGACAGCCTGTCAGAGCGATCACTGCTGCACGGTCAGCTTGATCCGGTGCTCCCAGTCTGCCTCGAATACAGAGGCAGACCGGAGCAGCATTAACCCTGTGATCGCCGCAATCTGGGGTTAACTTTACCAATTGACGAGCCCGGTCCGTCATCCGGCGGTAAGGGGTTAACCCCTTAAGAACCAAACTTCTGGACTAAAAGGGAATCATGACATGTCACACATGTCATGTGTCCTTAAGGGGTTAAACTACCGGTATTATTTTTGTTTCTCTTATTCTTATACTCTACCAGCTATTTCACCTGTCTATAAAAACTATGAAAATTGTGCATGTTTCTTTAAATGCCTTACAGCATCAAAACCTATGAAGTTTGAATAACTTGCCAACCGCTGTTGGGGCATGACAAGCCTGTTTGTAATCTTATGCTCAGCAAAAAACACAAACAAACACAAAAAAATAAATCAATTTTAGGGGTTACAATATTAAAATTGTCCTCCTGGGGTAGTTTTTCTTCTTTTAAAATATAGTCTCCTCCTTTACTGTGTTGATCCCCTTTATGTATTTAAATGTTTCTATCATATCCCCCCGTCTCGTCTTTCCTCCAAGCTATACATGTTAAGATCCTTTAACCTTTCCTGGTACGTTTTATCCTGTAATTGATGAACCAGTTTAGTAGCCATTTTCTGAACTCTATATCTATGAGTGTATATCTATGAATGCAGGAGTGTTAGAGTGTAGAATAACAGAACAATGGAAGAAATGTAGAGAACATATTTGGAAGATAATAATATCCCCCATGACACATGCTAATCTATACACCACACAAAACACAGCAATGCGGAACAGTAGCTAAGAACCTTAGAAGTTAACCTTGCAGTTAACAGTAAATACATAGAGCATTAAGTACTGTTTGCTGAGAGACAAGTTATATGTGACTCACTCATTCTAATGACTTTTAGTCCAAGATCCCAAGTCACATTTTTCAATATCTCCTTCCATCTTCTCCCTGTGTCTGGATTCTTACCTCTCAGGATGACAGTAAAGCTGGCTGTCTTTATCCAGTCTTTATCCTGTCCATTCAGATTAACTACAAAGCCCTTAACCGCTTCCTTTCCAACCGACTTCTACGCATTTCGCTGCATAAGCCTGTGTAACATTTCATTGAAATGATACTTGTGTTTTTGTAGCCTACAAAAGCCACAATTAAACATGTATGCAGTGCCGGGCTGAGAATATTATAGTGCAACAGCGGATGAAGAGGTTTTAACACCTGTAATGTGCAGAATGCTGACCCATTTCAGTAATATCTGATAACAGGGGAGGATAGCATATAGCGCAAAAATGTTCTTTATGAGGTCTGAATGTCACTACAAAAACAAGAAAATATATAAAGAAATTCTAGCACAATTAACTAATAAATAGTGATCAGCATCTATACACTTGATGAAGCTAGAAACCTGGCGAAACTAGTTATCCAGCGCGGTGTGAGACGTCATCATGTTTTCCTCGCCTCCTGGAAGGACCCGCAGTTTGTGAGGACAGTTCCGAACGCAATCAAAAGATAAGCCGGCGGCATTTAGCAGATGGACTGATCCACAGAACTGTGAAGTCGGGTTGTATGGAGGTTTAGTTGCTTGGCACAGCTTTTTAAATATGTTACAATAAAGACTGTTTTCTACACCGGTGGCTTCACAGCCCTATTCACTTGGATGTCTTATCAAGGTGATTACACTTAGAGCAGGCTTCATCTGCTCTCTGTATGTGAGTGGCTTTAGTCATATCATTTTACTCTCTTATAATTCTTTATTTAGGTTGTGCAGTGATATAGAACTCTCTCTTGTACTTTAACTATAGTACACTACATATATTTTCTTTTTTATGTATTGAAATTCGCATACCATTATGGAATGTTTTAAGTGAGTGTTTTACTTTATCTATAACATAGTGGTTCTTGCACAAAAAATTGCACTTTGTAAAAAGCTTTTAGCACAGAGTGAAGTGCACATTCAGTGTAACTTAAGCACGTAGATTTTTGCACTTTAAATATTACACTTACCAATTACGTGAGTTTTGTATATAAAATAATATTTTTTTGTCTTAAAGGCACAGCGCACCTTAAAAATTTTTTTTCCTGTTCAAACTGAAATCTAAACCATGAAAATTATTAACATTGCTACACAGTTCCACATACACACACACAGTTGTCCGTTTGATGGTTGTTAGACATTGTAATAAGAAACACCACTACATCACAGCTCCGGCCCGGGGCTGCTGCCTGGCCTCTGTGTGGAAGGTTCAAGCACAGAGACAGCCCTCAAAATAACCTCAAAGTGAAGTCTATTATGGCTAATAGGAAATTAAACCATTAAATCTCTTTGGTAATCAATAAACCATAAAATAGTATCTGTCCCTAGGAACTAGCTTGAAATCACGTTTGTGTAAAGGTTATTATTAAAATGTAAAAAAGTTATATTAGTGGAGATATGCAATATGTAAGAAAATAAGAAGTGCATCTATTATCTTCATTTTATTGATTATTGTGTAACGAGCAGGAAGGCATACACAGCTCCCATATTTCAAATTAAGAAACTAACCTGTCAGACAAGCTGCACAGAATGGGTTAACAAGCTGTGATAGATAATGATGTCATGGGATGAGATGGCAAAAAGCCAAGTCTAATACCTGCTCATGGAAAAACCAGCGTGAATTTCCTACTTCATTAGCCAGCCGCCACCTTCTTGTCAAAGGGCTAAGTAGGGAACTGCAAGGGGATTGGTTGACAGAGAGACTTACTGCCATATGTCAACTGATTGTGACCCAGGAACCAAATCATTAACTGTTTCTCTGTTTCTCTTATAAGCTCTGGAGGGAAGCTGTCAATCTCAGAAAAAGAATACAGCACAGTGTGTATTTGTACCCTATGTCCTATATCTCAAGTACTGCCCGCAGACATTTCATAGACAGATGAAGGGAAGAAAATTAAAATAAATAAATCAAATAATTTCTCTTATTGTTTATAAAGTGCCAGCAAATTATGTAGCGCTGTACACATCAGGTGCAAAAAAACCAAAACATTTAAAAAAACAATACATATAAAAATTGATTAATACATTCTGTTGACAATTGTGGTATATGTGGTAAATATACATTTAAAGAATAATTTTGTTTTGCTTAAGTCTGATTGGATAACATGATCGTATATTTAAATCTCACACAAAGTTCAGTACACTACAGCTTATAGAATTATGTAATGTACAGATGCTCACATAGAAGGGGTATTGTTTTAAAAACTAGAAAAAAAATTAAATGGAATTTTGATAATTTTTTTCTTATCCTCATGTGCGTCATGCTAGTTGGCCTGCGGTGCTAACCCTATCAACTTACCAAGAACCAAGAGTAAACACCCTGCCTCACAGACTTCACAGTATGGGATCACCATTACAGAAACAAACTTATTTTGTTTTCCCATAGGCCACAAAAGGCATGATTTAAAAATAAAGGGACAATAAGAACTGACAAAGAAATGTCTCTACTAGAGACTTCTTCTGTAATGTGATATGACGTTCTTAGCCTGTATGCCAGTTTCATTAAACCTGATTAACACAGTCTGTTACAGGTGTAAAATACAAGACAAACATTTGAGCTCACCTGATGCAACAATGATCTGTTTATTAAACGTGACTGATCCTCTTTTATCCCCATTCTGGATAAGATGATGGGGATAAAAGGTCACCTTTTATTCCCATCACGATCAAGATCATTTCCCTTTAAAACAGTTATGAGAACCAAAACAACAAGCTGATATGTATTACCTGATCTAAAGCATAATCATATTTTGTTGAGGAGAGCAAAACCGTCTTGAGGAGCACAAAAATATGATTGTGAATTACACCTCTCACATGTCAGATCTAACAATATACTAGCTCTATCTATCATGAGCTTACAAAAAGAAAAGGAGAGCATGAAAGGTAAATGGTACTTTAATTTTGTCAGAAGTATTTAAATCGTACATCCTATTGAAACATAGCTGTAGCAAACTTGTTTCTGGCACGGAGACATATGTCACTTTAGCCTGTAAGTCAGATGTGGTAATTCATTGCCAACCTCGGACCCACAACGCCAGCACTCCTCCAGCACACCTGCATTAATGCGGTATGGAACATCAGGAATTCTGTACCAGGTGGACAGTAGTTTAAAACTAATTTCCTCAAAATGTGTGCGATCCCTGTGGAAAATTTGATGGTAATGAAATCCATCCAGGCCGGTCGGGGAAGTCTCAGGAAGCAATTCCGCTAAGGGCTTAAGTTGATCTGTCCCACACCATTGTCGCATACATTTCCAGTTGGATCGGTGGTAATTGTGCAGTTCTGAAGAGAGTAGGCCATCCGCTAGGTCAGGGTTATGAGTAATGGGCGTTAAAGGGCAGGGCAAGGTGGACAATTGATGAGAGTAGCAGAGAGAGCACCACACTTTCATGATGGAGTCAATAAAAGGGTTACCGGTGCGCAACGAGCTAATAGTCAGGCCACAATGCCAGAGTAGCGATGGGATTCAGCCCTCTGGCTGAGTCCATGTGTATCCAGAGTTTTGTTGTTGGATGGGGCAGTCAGAGAGCCTAACCAGGTGAGCTGCCTGGTTGTACATCAGGCATATCTGCTTCTTATTTACTTTAGGGTATATGTTATCAGATGATATAAACATACCTCTCTTAATAGAACGTATAGAATAGCATTTTTGTGTAGAATAGACATCTTACCCTGCACTTTGTATAAAAGTGTTACACATTCCAGATTTTATGCTCGTGGACACTGCAATGCATTCTTTTTATTAGGGTTTTTGCTCATCTGTAGCTCCTCCATGTTTTTAATTCACCCATTTTACAGAGCTGCAAAAACGTCAGGCACTTCATAAATAAAGATAAAAATAATAATTACCACATGTTTTTGTATGATTTCCTGACCCGAAATAAAAGATCATAAAATATATAACATCTAGCAAGGAAGTTTAACCATGGAATAAAATTGAAAAAAATCAATAACGATTTTGTCAGCAGGATGTGAGCATGTTTAATAAAATGCTTTGCAGTCAATCATGGTTTATTCACTGAAGCGAGAATTGAGAGAATTCACTAAAATTGATTACAAATTTAAGGCAAATGTAGCCAAACTGAAAACAAAAATGTCTTTGAGACTTCTTCTAATTAGCTACTTTGGTGTAAATTTTTATATTCCCACTTTTATTTCTCACTGTAGTGAGTAACCCTGGAATGTTCTATTGTATATATTATATATGATATCTATAAAGATCTGTTTCCTCAAATCGTTGTTTTGGTAATTTTCACTGTGCTAACTGCACCTAGTTTTCAGACACTGTTAGAAACAACTTTTCTACGTCGAAAAAAAGTTCAATACTTGTTTTTATTCTCTGTCAAAAAGAAAAATTGAAGGGGTAAATGGGAGACACTGATAGATTAATAAAGAGATACTTTGGCTGGAGGATGTGACTGAAATGTGGTCCAGATGTCCTCTTATTAGAGCAGCTTTTTTCTATGTGAATGTATATCAATTAACCAGATGTTTTTGCAGGAAACCAAAACAGTCTGAGAAAGGAAGAAAACGGTAAAGAACAGCTGTTGTTGACACACACACACCAACCAGTGTGTGAAATCATAGGATAAAATCACTCTCTCTCCTCACTTCCCTTCACCAAATATTAACACCTTCACAGAAAGTAAAAGTGGTCACCTATTAAAATTAGGAATGTTTTGATCAGAATGCAGAAGAAGTCTTTTGCGTGACCATCTCTAATTCCCAACATGTTCTTTTTATTTGTACGGTTTTGCAGAACATCAGTCTTCAGCTAGTAAAATTCCAGGAATTTGAAAAGAGTTAGTGTAGTCAATAGGAAGATTTAAAAAAAAAAAAAAAAACACCATGTGCACTACTTCAAAGCAATGATGGCAGATAATATTGCAAACAGATTCAATACACTGTTCTACAGCGCCCATAAATGTGCCTTCACACCTTCTGTTTAATTTCATGGATTTAGTTCAAATAAAGATATTTTATATTTGTCGCTTCCCACTGTAACTTGGTGGGGAAGGTCTCAAACACTTACTAAGCTACGCCAGTTAAACTTTCTAAAACAAAATGTTTCCTTCTCTAACTATTTAAAATATGAAATACATGAATTTTACCTACTCAGCATATGATTACAGATCAGACATGTATGGCAGGTCTGAGACCAAAAGAGGAAGGGGGATGGTGGGTGTGCCAGTCACAAAAATGGCATCACTGATCTGGCCACTTACAATAAGTGCATTTCATTCAATAGGGTGATTGAAAAACTGGCTGCTCAGCAGGGTTGTTAATCAAGACCATCCACATGCACATTCTAAGTGCAGGTGAAGCATGTGCATATTGGTTGAAATGTCCTGTATTTTAGAATAAGTGCAGTTTGTTTAAACATGTCTATGCTCTACACCAGGGGTATCCAAAAGGTATATTCCCCAGATTATTTATTATTACTGCTGTTTATAAGGCGCCAACAGATTCTGCAGCGCTGTACAATTAGTGGAGAAACGTAAAATATACACAGACAAATACAAGAGGTAGAGAGAGCCCTGCCCGTAAGCTGATATCCAGATGTTGTAGAACTCCAACTCCCATGATACTTTGCATGCATTTTTAGAATGTCTTTAGAATTACAAAGCATCACAGGAGCTCTAGTTTTAGAACGTCTGGGGAATTTACTTTTTGGGCACTCCTGTCCTACACGTCATCCTAGTCATCCTAACACAATAGACAACTCTATTGAGTGATGGCACAGATTTACTCACACGCTAAAATTTTTATTATGAATGGCATATGTGCCTCTCCATAAAATGTTAGACATAAGTGTTATAATACATCATTTATAGCTTGTATGAAATGTTATATTTAGAAGTGCGGAGGCTCTTAACATTGCATCATTTGAGAACATTCCCAACATCTGTGACAGGAAAATGCTTTACAGAGAATGGTTCCTCAATATTCTCGGCCTTATTTGCTTAACACCAAATTATAATAAATTGAAAACAATTGTAAAATGTAAATACGATACTAAAATTTTGAATTCTCCATAACACAGTGTTTAGTGAATAAACCTCACGGACCAGGCCTAAACGTACATGACATTTTGTTATAACATATTTCAGATAACCTAATTTGCAAGACAGAATGCAAGCAGATGTTTGCAGAGGCTTCAAGAATGGCCTATGGTTAGATTGAGATGTCATATTTGTGCATGTAAAAATGTGCAGTACTAAGGAACGTACAGTACTTAATTCCCAAGCATCGGAAAATGGATTTTTCTCATCATTCCAGCAAACTTAGATCAGATTTCCATTTACGTAATCCAGAGAAAAGGGGTCAGGTTCCTTTTTTTCTGTATTGTACTGCAAAGCTGTTCTTGCAGAGCTGCTTTTTTTTAAGGCAAAGCTAAGCATATCCTCAGGATGTGAAGCTGTACAGTGTTGAGGCTACTGCCATTGTTTCAGTCTCTCATTTAAATCATTGTGGCACGTTGTCCTGAATTTCACGTGGCAGTCTCTGTCTTTCAGTCCTGCCTAGAGGAACAACTTTTCACATTTGCCATTTAGGGACACTTTTTAATGTCAGTTAAAGAAACTTGGTGGTAAATAATTATGCATTAAAACCTCATGATGGAAAATAATTCAATACAATTAGATTATTGCAAATGTATATTCACCTCTACCTACAGAGTATCCACATTTAATAAAAAAATCCCTCTGTCCAACATTCCTGCCCTAATGTTCCTCTTTTCTAGGCACTGTAAACATTTGGAGTCCACAGACCTTTACATGTAATTACCAACTACAGCCAGACTGCGACTGCACTGTTGGATTGCCCGAAATAGGGAAAATATAAGAAAGGAGTGAATTCAAGTTGCACTTGAAAAAAGTGTAATACAAAAAGTGAAACTGGAACAAATGCTAGTTCAATATACAATGCCAGGCTGGCCATGTTTCACACCAAGCACTGGCTCAATAAACTCAAGGGTACATTAGGCCATTCACCCAGAGAAAAAAGTTTTCTGTGGTAAAAAAAATTCTTTAACGAAATTAGGTGCCTCTAGATATAAAATAACAACCTAAGCCAAGACAATGCAAAAATGTTCATATGTACCTAAACAGGGGGACATTTGGGCCCTGCGTTTGTGTGTACACAGCGAGCTCTCTCCTTGCACACTTCTATGACTGGAATTGAGTAATACCTAACTTTAAATGCCACAATAGCTCTTCTAAAGCGGGGAATGGCCCCAGCTGTTTAGGACATACAAGAAGTTTTATCTAGGGATCTATATTTTATCCCCCTGCTTTAAAGCATTATATAAAATACATTTCTTTAAACTGTGGGTTGTTTCTTTTTAACTTTACAGCCCCCCTAATAGGAGCATGGGGGGGAAGAGGAGAGACTAACATGGGCTACAGGCCCAAGTGAGCTGTTCCTTGTCTTGCTACATATTAAAAAATTAAAACAAATTAACCACCCTGACCGAATGGGATTTATCCTGGGGATGGAGGCTCCAAAAAAATATTTGCAGGATAGTAAATCCGTCTACTTGGTGAGAGCCGCAAGAATGCAGGCCTTCTTACTGTCACTTGATGACGAGTAGGCTTTTGGTGGAAATGATCTGTTTCTTTTTTATGCAAATCTCTAGAGACATGGAGAGTTAATTAAGCCCCTCATACTGTATGCAAATCCAGAGTAGCTTCGACACTGCTGTGGAACTGCAGGGCATGCCAGAGCCTGTTCATCACCTCTACATGTTCAACAAAGGATAGAGAGCTTTAAAAGCGGTTTGTTCTAAATTTCTTGGTTTCTGTAATATTTCTGCTGTATTTGGTTACTTTACTCATGTAGAGTTCTACAATCATTAAGGAGCAAGAGGTTTTTTGATACTAGCAGGGCTCAACATTTTCACTTGCCACCGGCAACTTAAGTATCATGCCATAAAAATCTTTTTTTAAAAATCACTCAAATTTTTTTTTTTTTTACATTTCTTATGTAGACCCTTCATGCCCTATCCAGGTGTGGCTTTTGCATGATTTAGCATAAAATGCCAAAAGCCTTTTGCAATACACAATATTCAGAGTAAGTGGTAAGAAAAAAAAAAATATATATACCTAGATCGTTTCATATTGTCTTTAGTGTGGAAAATCCTGACTGACTGACATGCGCACACCCACCCAAGAACCAGTTTGTGTGAGTGGCGACATGCACTGGGGAAATGTAGGAAGATGCATTGAGAGTTGTATGGTGACACCATGGCAATTGTGGGACATTATACTGGGGGATGTGGGAAAGGGCACTGTGGGGGAACTCTTGCTAAAGGCACATTTACTGGATAGTTACCCCATAGCCACTAACCCATCTCAAAGGTCACTATAAAACCCAGTATATGTAAATAAAAAAACTAAATTGTATCACAAAAACTGCTGGAATATTAAAAAAAAAAAAAAAAAAGAATCCAGACTTTCTTGAGGCCAAAATAACTGAAAGCATGAGTGTCTATTGTGACCTTAAATTTTAAATGTACTTTGAATTCTCAGTTTAGTGAATAGCTCTGCTCTTTTATTTTAAACAAAAAAAGTAGAAAAGAGAGTGACAAATTGGCTAGATTGGAGATTTTTTTTGTTTTCTAACTTGAATCTTACGTTTTGCAGTGTCGTTCTCAATAGTCCACAAGGCACTGTTTGTAGTGATTTTAGTGAATAAACCCCTTAACCTTTGTAAACTGACAGATAACTCACTGAATGTGAGATATATCATATGACCTCTATCAACGCAAATCTGGTAGTTACAGTAGCAGAGTCAGGAGGTTTTCTAAAAACATGTGACTCTCAGAAGGATCATAAATGCATCACAGGCAGACAAGTATGAATTCAGCTGTAGGCATGGGTTCAATAGGTTATGGGTCCACTGGATAGTGTGAGATTGTAACTCCCAGCATGCTCAGCCAGGTAACAGCTATTGCCCAGCATCTTTAGCATTCAGAGTTTTCTCCAAGCCTCTGCTAAATTACAATTATTACTTATCACACCCACTATCCATCAATCTTGACTCTGCTCCTTGTTGATGTCACAAGGCAGGAAGCATGTCCACCAGTGTTTGGTTTCTGATGGTATGTCATTAAATATAAAAAGGCTTGCAAATGGACTCTATCTTTATATATAAGTATGGATATCACTGTGAAATGTTGGTAGTTTTGAGCCATATTTATCTGGGTGTTTTTTTTTAATAGTTGTTATGGTTTAAATTGTTTAATGAGCAAACTGCAATTTTTGACAGTCCATCTTTACACACTAACAGACATATTCCTGGACATAGAATGTAGCACCATGCCACGCTGCGAAAACCTACTGTAACATCAATAGTTGGCATTTTGAAGTGGACTATGCCTGCCGCCAGGCTGGCTTGACATCATGGGAGTTGCAGCAAGCAGCACCTAGAATGCCAGATTTACCGATCTCTCAAAGCATCATGGGTGCAACACACCAGTTGCCACATGCTGATGACAGCCCTGCATTTAAACACAGATGTTCCTTTAAGGTTTACTATTACCTATGTTCTTGGCCGTAGAACATTCCATTTAAGATCCTTTTGAACTGTTCATGCAAGACAGATGGGTTCATAACAAGCAGTCATAAACTTCCCACAACAGATCATTGAAAGTAGGGAGGAGGGGGAACAAACATTTAATGATCAGATGCCTTTATTTCTATAGTGGGAGAGTCATCAATGCATTGAACTTGCAACATATTCTCAGTGGTGTTATTGTGTGCAGGAATTCCAGCTATAACAGCTGTTGTGTTTTATCTCAATAGGCATAGAATGTTCTGTCAGTGTGTGTTGATTTACTCTAGACTATGGCTCTCTTGTCCAACCCAGAGCAGAACAGGTGGACGTTTACAGCAAAGAACCTAATCATAGACATCTTAACCTAGTTCCCACAGCCAGCCATGGTTAGCCTATTTTACAGGTTTGACATTTTACATTTAGATTTGCAGTTGTGACTTGAAGCATATAGGTAATGAAAAGGGTGATGAGTTGCCGTAAGTGTTGCCAGATCTATTATGGTTTCCTGGATACACATCACTTCTTCAAGCTGCTGGGCAGGAAATAAAAAATAAATCAATGTGAAAAGAATTATTCACATGCTACCGAAAGGAAACCTGATGAGTTAATTTGTTTCCTTCCTGTAGCATATGGATTGAATACACTTTAAGGCAACACATTTCATGTACTGTCCATCACCATATATGAGAAAATAAGGGTTTGGCTGCACTCACCTACACATGCTAAATTAGGGTGCTGCTGGGGGCCAACTGTCCATGATCAAAAACAGGTGATACATGTCCAGGGAAACATGGTAGCCTGTGTGCTATTTAGCTCAATATAACAATGCCCTTTAAATATAGCCCAAAATAATATTCTATCTATATATTTACTAGTAATTTATAAAGTGTTTATGAAGTCCCACCATGTTGTTTTTCCATAAGATGAACATTTTTGCAGACTATAATAGAACTTAAAGCATATTAGCATAGTAAAGTGTTCTAGTCATGAGGTAAGTTTAATCTTTTTTTAAAAGGGAACCAATGGCCTACCAGTCAGACATCAGTAGCTTGGCAACCCATATTTCTTTTCAAAATGAGCTTGGTGATCTATTCTAAAATTATAAATAATTTTTTTTTTTATAAAACGCCAACACAACAAATGTACAAAAGTTGGACTAACAGACATGTATTTGCAATAAGACGAAATGGACTCACAGGAACAGAAGGTGTTGAGGGCCGTGCTCAAACGAGCTTACATTCTCTCTCTCTCTTAATATATATATATTAAAAAAAAAAACACAAAACACCTTCATTAGATTCTTCCCAATATCAAAGACTTCCTCTTTCTATCTTGAAAGATGCTGATGCAACAGTAACCAATTTTAGTGGGCCATTTCCTGTAGTCTGGCGAATTTGAAGTTCTAATTCTAACTAGTAGGGACCACCTGAAATAGCATTGGGAAATGAATTTATGAACTTCAGGTGCTGGCCCAGAAGTTAAGAACCCCTGTTATAGAGAAAGCCCAGATGAACATACTTCTAAACTGACCATTGAGTTTGAGACTAGAAGGGATTTATTCACTAAACAGTGAGTTGTGGTACATTGACATTTTTTAAAAATAATTACCAAAGTAGCTGGCTTGGAAACCTCTTCCCATTCATCTATAGCCACAGCCTGGCTACGTTTGCCAGCATTTTGCACTTCAGTTTTCAATTTACCTCAATTCTGTGTTAAGTGCATAAACCTCTCAGTGTAAATTGTTGTGAATACATATGAATTTAACATTTTAGGGCAGAATAGCCAAACTGTAATTTTTATTTTATTTATTTAAAATCAGGTATGTTTCCAATATAGCTCTTTGGGCGTAAAATTTGAAATTCATCTTATATTCACATTGAATTCAAACATTTAACACTTTATGAATAACCATGTAAAATTACTATATATGTCCCGTATGGACCAATACCTCCCCCTACCCTTACCATGTATCCTACAATGACAAACACTAGTGCTTGACATTGTCTCTGGCGCATTTTGTGGCCTCTGCATTTTGTAGTGAAGAACCAGTGATATCAGAAAAAAACTGGTCTGTACTCCCTCCTCTCTCTTTGCTCTACGTTCTGGGAAACTGAAACTTAATTTGGCGGCATCTTGGTTCTTTGCACTACAAGTTTCAAAATGTGGTTCAATTAAATAATTCAGTGCTTGAGCTCTAAGTGATTTAAATTATTGAAACTGAATTCTCAAAGTGCACTAACAGCTGAAACCATTTTCATGTTCTAGGTTTTTCTAAAATGCTTATGAAATTAAAATCTCTCCCTTCCTGAGCAGAAAAGAAATCTGACTAAATAAGATTATACGATTTTAAATTACAGAATACTACAGCATTACTGAAAACGACATATATTGAACTTTGGCCACAAGTCATTATATGTCCCCAATCATGACGACTTATCACTCTACACATCTGTAAAGAGACAAGTGTGTACAACTGGTTTGCGTCTTGAAGTGTAGCAATTCAATATTCCTGCATGTACTCCAATCTCTGATTTCTGTACTGGTGGTTTCATTGCATGTATGCACACATATTGCTTTCCAAAATCACTGAGAATTCAGACTGAATTCAAAGGGGATTTTAAATTTAAAGGGAGACTATAGTACTAGGAATACAAAGTTTAATTTCCAGCTGCTCCCTTGTGCCTCCCCCCTCCCTTACTCAATTCCAATGAACTCACTTGGTGCTTTGGTTGAACTCCGCCTCCTCCGATATCACCAGGGGGTTGGGTTAATGCACAGGCAGCAAGGGCCGCAAGCGCATTAGGCCCTCCCCATAGGAAATCATTGCTGTAATACTTACTAGGTGACCAAAAGTTGCCTAACAAGCAGGAAGTACCTCTAGTGGCTGTCTGATTGACAGCCACCAGTGGCAGTCTTAACCCTGCAATGTAATTATTGCAGTTCCTCAGAAACTGCAATAATTAACATTGCAGGGTTAAGGGGAGAGGGACGTTGCAGCCAGACCACTTCAATGAATTGTCTGGGTGCCTACAGTTTCCCTTAAAGGCCAGAGTAACTGAATAGCAAGCATAACTTCTTACAGTTCAGCTATTTTGACCTTAAAGGACCACTATAGTGCCAGGAAAACATACTTGTTTTCCTGGCACTATAGTGCCCTGAGGGTGCCCCCACCCTCAGGGTCCCCCTCCCGCCGTGCTCTGGGGGGAGGAAGGGGTTAAACTTACCTCTTTCTCCAGCACTGGGCGGGGAGTTATCCTCCTCCTCTCCTCCTCTTCGGTTGAATGCGCATGCGCGGCAGGAGCTGTGCGCGCATTCAGCCAGTCCATAGGAAAGCATTCACAATGCTTTCCTATGGATGCTGGCATCTTCTCACTGTGAAAATTACAGTGAGAAGCGCGGAAGCCCTCTAGCGGCTGTCAATGAGACAGCCACTAGAGGCTGGATTAACCCTAATATAAACATAGCAGTTTCTCTGAAACTGCTATGTTTATAGAAAAAAGGGTTAAACCTAGCTGGACCAGGCACCCAGACCACCTCATTAAGCTGAAGTGGTCTGGGTTCCTATCGTGGTCCTTTAACTTTGAAATTCACTTTAGTGAATTCTAACTTTAGTGAATCACCCTGATTGAAGGTATTCACATTGCCCGTGATGTCTGGAGGAAGATGTAACACACCCAGGGTGATTTCTTAAACCGTGAATGGTTGGGAATTCAATTACATTTTTTAGTAGATTATATCCAAATGGAAACATGGAGACTAACTCTGACTCCACTATGGTCACAGCTTGTCTATTTTAGCTCAAGTTTTAATATTGAGATTTCATTGTCAAAACGTGGACGTCAGTTAATAACCTTGTTAGTGAATTTACATTTTAGGTTATAATAATTGAACTGAAAACATTGCTGACTTTGAAATTCACTTTGAATTCCCGACGATTCACACTGAATAACCTTAAAAATGCAGCATTATTTTCATGAAAATATTGCATATAATTTCGAAACTATTAGAAATGAAAACAAATATTTTTTTCACTTCCTCACATAAAACAAAATCAGGTCAACATGTTACTGTTTCCTTAAATAAAAAAAAGCAAACTAAATCAGAAGGCACCAAATACACTGGGACATAGTTTAAAAGAACAATGCAGACATATAAATCATTTTAGCTTGCTTGCTGGAGTGTTTCATGTATGAAGACTGTAATTTTTTTGCATTTTTACCAACAGTTCAGATTTGAATAAAAATATAATCTTTTATAAATTAACCTTATTAACCCCTTAAGGACACATGACATGTGTGACATGTCATGATTCCCTTTTATTCCAGAAGTTTGGTCCTTAAGGGGTTAAACTTCTCCTTTCTGTCAATTAGAAAACTGGTCCTTACTTCCTGATTTGGTTAGCTCAGTTGAGCTAAACTCAAGAGGCAGCAATTGCCCAGAGCACCTAACCTTGCAAAGCATTCTCATTGAGCTGCATTATAAATCTGTGATTGGACAGAAACAGAAAGTCTGGGATGGGGGAGCAAGAGATCTGCAGCTTTTGCAAGTTGTTTTTAGAAGTACCCCAATGAAACTGTGTGATGCTTCCATTGTGCCCATATATTACAAACTAAGAATCCTTGAGATTTTGACACGAACACTGACAGACCCCAGCATGCACACAAGACATGTGACTGCATCTCCTCTGGTAAATTATATATTTTTCTGAAACAAATACTCTGAATAACCATTTGAATGCTAAAGCCAACAAGTGGCTAGTGATGTTTACTATTCAGGCATTATATATGGTTAATGCCAATCCCCTGATGTGCAAGACAGTTTTAAATGTCAGTATTTAGTAATTCCCACCTCTTTATTTAAACATTCAGACCATGTGTGTATCAATAAAAATGTTTTGTAATTTTATTTGCCTATGTACTATCCTTCATGTGCTGTGACATGTCTAATTATGTGTAAAAGAAAAAAATATTTTAGTTTTAACAATCAATCGCCAAACACTAAACATGGATTTTACCCATCAAATATGTTAAAAACAAAACAAAAACAAACAAAATGCATTTGTCCTAATCAGCATCAAATAGTAAATTCATTGTACTCAATATATGGGCAGTCTGATGGCCCATAGATTGATATCAGTTCAGTGTCCTATAAAATCCCGGTGGATAATAAGTAACTGTGTGATATTTTGTATCAATGTAGTTAACCTTACAGAAAACTGCATATTTACCTCACCAACTCTATACCGGAGATGGGCATCCTCGGTCCCCCACATGTTTCTGGAATTCATTCCCTATGGTGTTCAGTTAGCTTTTGGGCAGGCTGAGCATCATGGGAAATGGAGTTCAAAAAATAGGAAATCACAGTTGTCTCCATTTAGGAGTGCTTTCTTACCAGTTCTTGCTTTAACCTTCGGATATACTGATCCATGCTCCTTGTGTGTTTTTCTAGCAGTGCAAGTCCATTTATCGGCGTCTCTAGAACTTCAGGACCTTCTATGTATCCCTGATGGGTGCAGAATGGACAAGGAGTAGTTCAGTTGTTCTGAGTATATCAGATTCCAAGTATTTTATTTATTTAGGTTTTAAAGCTATAGCAGACAGGGTATGCAGTGTACCAATGATACCCTCTCTGGCTCTGTAGTGGGGAACCCAGGTTAAGTAATTTCAGTGAGCCATAGCTCATGCAGTCACAGAGCATTGTGAACAGACTTCCCAGTGCTGGGAGCAATGTACAGGGCTGGCAGCTCCTCCCAGCAGCCAATGGCAGCAAGCAGACAGATACACAGCCCTGCTGAGTATGAACATGAGGGGGTGGGGGTGATGATAATTTGACTTTTGCATTGCAAAGCTATAGCACACTTTTGTGTATTCCTTCCCATCTTACAATTATATCACCTCTTCCTCCTGTGCTGCCTGACATATGGTTAGATAGGGGCAGACAATATTACAATTAACACTTTCATTCCTGGAATATAAAATTGCAAGATTTAGGCAGCGTTACCATTTGCTCTTTTCATTATATATAATTGCGTGTCTGTCTGTCATATATTATTATTTTTATTAGTAGTAGTAGTAGTAGTAGTAGTATTTATACACAGCACTTTACAATCTTATGAAAGAGGGAAATGTAACAATAAATGAGACAATTATGAGAAAATGTTACAGGAGCAATAGATAGATGAGGACACTGTTCAAACAAACTTACAGTCTAGCCCAGGGGTCCTCAAACTACGGTCCGCGGGCTGATTCTGGCCCGCCATGCTCCTGAACCCGTCCCAAGCATTTAGGGCCACCCGATGAGCCCTAAATCTTCAGGGGCCCCTTTAAAAAATTGCAGCCGCAAAGTAGTGCTGTGAGGAATTCACAGCCGATGGTCAATTCCTCCCAGATCCCTCCGTGCGGGAGGGAAGAAAGACAGGCCGCGAGGACGGGAGAGCCATGCCGACTCCCATCAGCCACAGCCACCCTGCTGCAAAAAAAGTAAGAAAAATTAGATGTGTGTGTGTATGTATTTATGTATGTCTGTATGTGTCTATATGTATGTATGTCAGTATGTGTGTATGTATGTCTGTGTGTGTATGTATCTTTGTGTCTATCTGTATGTATGTCAGCATGTGTGTATGTCTGTGTGTGGGTGTATGTATGTGTATGTATGTATGTCTGTGTCTATCTGTATTTATGTATGTATGCGTGTATGTATGTTTATGTGTGTATGTGTCTGTGTCTATCTGTATGTATGTCAGTATGTGTGTATATATATCTGTCTGTGTGCATGTATTTCAGTATGTATGTCTGTGTGTATGTTTGTATGTATGTTTATGTATGTCTCTGTCTATCTGTATGTATGTCAGTATATGTATGTCTGTCTGTGTGCATGTATTTTAGTATGTATGCATGTGTATGTATTTCAGTATGTATGTATGTCAGTATGTGTTTGTATGGATGTCTGTCTGTGTATATGTATGTCAGTATGTATGTCTGTGTGTTTATGTATGTGTATGTGTTTGCATGTCTGTGTCTATCTGTATGTATGTGTGTATGTATCAAAGAAAAGTTACCTGCGCTCACTCCTGAATCCCTATATATATTTAAACAAATGGAGGTCACTGTAAGGAATGCCTGCCTGCCTGCCAACGCCAAGGCAGACCCCCCTAGGCAGGTCCTACACTGACCTTTTACCTTGCTTCCTTGAGCTTCTGGCAAAGATCTGTCTCATTAGAGACCTCCATTTGTTTAAATATACATAGGGATTCAGGGGAGAGCGCAGGTAACTTTATTTCTTTGGTTTTTACTGTATGTATGGTGGCTGATGTGTACTGTGGTCGTTGCTCCTGCCCAGGAGTGATGGGAGTGAGCGCAAGACTTATCTTTTTGTATGTGTGTATGTATGTCTGTCTGTGTGTATGTATTTCAGTATGTATGTCTGTGTGTGTATATCAGTATGTGTCTGTCTGTATGTATGTCAGTGTGTGTATATATGTATGTCTGTGTGTATGTATATCAGTATGTATGTCTGTGTGTGTGTGTGTGTGTGTGTCTATGTGTATGTATGTCAGTATGTGTTTGTATCTATGTGTGTATTTGTTTGTATGTATGTATGTGTAAATGTATTTCAGAATGTATGTTTGGGTGTGTATGTATGTATGTATGTCAGTATATGTCTGTGTGTGTGTGTGTGTGTGTGTATGTATTTTATTATGTATGTATGTGTATGTATGTCTGTGTGTGTTTGTGTGTATGTGTATGTATGTCAGTATGTATGTCAGTATGTATGTATGTATGTGTGTGTGTACGTATGCCTCATGCATGTTTGTGTCTGTATGTATGTATGTGTCTGTGTGTCTGTATATGTTTATGTGTCTGTTTCAGTATGTATAGGAATTTGTTCAATTTTTTTTCAAACTATAGTCTGGCACCCAACAGTGTCTGAGGGCGGTGAACTGGCCCCCTGTTTAAAAAGTTTGAGGACCCCTGTTCTAGCCAATTTGAGCTCAAATGTATATGTAAATGATGGATGGATGATATTAATGCCCAAACATAATATTACAATTCAGAGCAGGGTTATACATTTTCTGAATTTAGATTACTATTGTTATTAGTAATAATAATGTCCCCTATATACAAAATTAAAATAATGTCGTTATTTTGAAGATAATGCAAATGCTAGTTTGGATTATTTGACCTCAACAAATTTTTTTTAAATAAAATATATAAAAGGAAGCAGAGCCAGTCATAGAAATCTAAAAAAGTGTAACCTTGATAAAGTGCAATAGTGCAGCTTAAAAGACAGAACCGCCTCTAATAGCTCCAAACAAACGTGAAATATATCAAAATGTTAACTTTGGCGCAAATAAAGTGCACAGTACAAATAGAGCTAGTCATAGACATGGGCAGTCACATAGTATGTTATTTTCTTTCATAATTGACAAAAATATACAGTTTTTGCTTGGTTTCGACTGATAATATCAAACACAACCAGTGACACATGCACACAGACACATATACATATAGAGACACATACATACACACAGACACATACACACACAAGATACACATACATACAAAGACACGTACATACAGACAAACACACATACATACAGACAGACATGCACACATACATACAGACAGACACATACATACAGACACACAGACACACACACACACACACACACACACACAGACACATACAGAGGAACACACACACATACAAACAGAAAGACACAAACAGAAAGACACACACAAACATACACACACAGACACATACACACACACAGACAAAGACACATACATACACACACAGACATACATACACACTTACATACAGAAACACACACACACATACACAGACAGACACATACACACAAACACATATACACATACATACAAACAAAAACACCCTCCTGTTTCCTACCTTTTAGGTGCAGGAGGGTGATTTTTTTCTGGGGTCCAGTGGTGGCTCAGGCTTCCTCCTTCCTCCTGCGCGGGCTCTCGCTGACAGCTGGGAGCAGTGACGGGCAGTCACTTCCTCCCAGCTGCAATGTCATCACAGGGGGCCCAGTCGCGCTGTTAAAGCACTGCAGCTCTGACCGGAGCCCCCTAGAAATTCATCTCTACCGGGTGGCCCGTGCGGCCCTGGCGGTTTGCAAAGCGGTCCAGGGCCGCAATACATGACGGCGGGCACCCGGTTGATCCCTACGACCGCTGTATGTATGCCACCGAGCACAACATAGAAACATAAAATGTGACGGCCTTTAACAACCATTCGGCCCATCTAGTCTGTCCAATTTTCTAAATACTTTCAATAGTCCTTGGTCTTATCTTATAAGTAGGATAGCCTTATAAGTAGGATAGCCTTATGCCTATCCCACGTATGTCTAAACTCCTTCACTGTGTTAACCTCTACCACTTCAGCTGGAAGGCTATTCCATGCATTCACTAACCTCTCTGTAAAGTAATATTTCCTGATATTATTTTTAAATCTTTGCCCCTCTAATTTAAGACTATATTCTCTTTTTGTGGTAGTTTTCCTTCTTTTAAAAATACTCTTCTCCTTTACTGTGTTGATTTCCTTTATATATTTTAATGTTTCTATCATATCCCCCTGTCTCGTCTTTCCTCCAAGCTATACATGTTAAGATTCTTTCACCTTTCCTGGGAAGTTTATTCCTGCAATTCATGAACCAGTTTTGTAGTCCGTCTCTGAACTTCTCCAAAATATCAATATTTTTTTGAAGATACGGTCTCCAGTACAGCCTAATGTGGTGGTACTACGAGGGAACAACTCATCAGATTTTCAGATGAATAAACTCTTGATATGGAGGAAGGCACCATCCCAAACTTATAAGATTCCCTGAACTCTGCTGGCAGATATAACCAAAACATTGCAAGAAAATTGGCAAAGAAGTGGGCAGAGTACAAACAATCGAAGCGGACTCACTATTGGGTAGCTTGCAGACTATAGTTAAGCCATGAGGGTGTACTCTTTAAAAAAGCCAGACTTACAAGTTGACATTAAAAACTGTACACACCTTAAACATGTCAGAATTTGGGGCTTATCTCATGACTTGGACATTAGGAAACTACCTCTTATCATTGGAAAACTCCTTACTAAGCTTCTCCCACCAACACAAAAGCAGTGGTGTCACTAGATGGTATATTTTGACTCCCCAAACCACTAGGGGCACTGAAGCAGCAACCCATGACTTGATCATCATGTTTGAAAATGATCAGGATAAAATGGTCTTAATGACTGCAACAATGGAAAAGAGGCCTCTCGTGCATTGAAGACTACATTCTTACCTTTTTCTTAGATCTGACTCAACAGCATGGCTGGCATTGATGGGTTCAGAAGAGAACTCCAAGACAAATCTTCGCACAGGAAGGCAGGGAAATCTGGCTGGCTGCATGAGCTAAGTGTGGGGTGCTCCCAATTCTGTCCCCAATTGCCTGCACTCATGTTTTGTTTTTTTGTTTTTTAAAAGTGCCAGGACCACCACTTGTTAAGCCTGCTGTACATGCAGGGGAAATAAGGTATGTAATTGATTTGTCAGGCAGGAATCTGGGTATTGCAGAAGCTGCATGCCTAAATCAAAATCTAGGAATTTACCCCCAAAGTTTTGGCTCTGGATACTGACCTGATGTCTGGAGAAGATTTCTGTGACATCCAACATAATAAGAAAAACTGAGCATACCATGTTGCCCATGACAGCTTCAGACTAAGATTGACAGACCTGGCTAACTATCTGTTTACTCATTTGTACTTCTGCTGGAAACCTCTACTGTTCCAACTAGTACAAGCTGGCCTGTACCACATCCTTGGGAGCCAACTAATATCATCCTCTATCCTCTCCAGTGACCTGCTGTACTGACACCCTGGATGCTTCAAGGACATGGCTTCTGGTTTTGGACAAGTCTTATTAAATGGAAAGTTCAGCTCCCAAATACAAACATTGAAGAAAAAAAATCACTGTTTAGTAGATACACCCCAATAAAAATGTATGCATTTAATTATGCATCTTTTCATTGGGGGTAAATCTAAAAACAGCTTTGGTTACTAATCCTCCCGCTCCTCTTACCTGCTAGCTATTGTATTTCTCAGATCCTGATAGTGAAGTGGTTTCTATCCCCAAAGGATACAGGTCATAAAGTGCTTTCCAATATGTGTTTTTCTACATGCTTCTTGAGGCATATATTTTGTATTTCTTTGCCTACTAATTTCTATAATACAAATCAACATTCCACCACTAATATCCTGCTTTAATGTTACTGTTTTGAGTTACTTTTTGCTTACATACTTGTACTTTGAATGCTAAATAGAAATACACTCGGCATTCCTAAACTCTCTTCCCCATTTAAAGGGACACTATAGTCACCATAACCACTACAGCTTAATGCAGTTGTTCTACTGTCTATAGCCTGTCCTGCAGGGTTTTCAATGTAAACACTGCCCAGCTGTGCATGGAGGCACTGAATGTTCCCCATGATTCAGTGGATCTCAATGAGGAGATGCTGATAGGCACAGTGCTGTGTTTTGCCGCTTATGCACAATATACTTCCAATGCTTTCCTAAAGGGAATCCATTGGATTGGCTGAGCTCATCATCCATGCCGGGATTGGCGCAGCGTAGCAGAATAGGTAAGTAAAATATAAATTTCAGCATAATTCTAGATGGACGATCACCTAAAATGCCACATCAGGACTATAGTGTCAGGAATATATGTTTGTATTCCTGACACTATAGTGTTCTTTTAATGATGATCCCAGAACATAAGATTCCAGAAATAATTGGGGCAGACTCGTCACACAAAACAAGTGATGAAGCAGCTCATGAAGTTACCGTAGACCTGTCACTTGTAGGGTCTTTGTCTGTCTTTTAAAGAACCCCCAGGTAACATGTCTGTTGAATGGTGGTTCCCGGGGAGAGAAGCAGAATTCATTTGAACATATATCCTTAGTAGTGATGTCGCGAACCGTCCGCGAACTTGCCGCGAACGGTTCGCCACGAACCGTTCGCGGCGAACTCCGGTCAGCTGACACATCCCTGCCAATCTCCGGCAGACCCTCCCTCCCAGACCCTCCCACCTCCTGGACAGCATCCATGTTGAACATGGACTTCAACATGGATGCTGTCCAGGAGGTGGGAGGGTCTGGGAGGGAGGGTCTGCCGGAGATTGGCAGGGATATGTCAGCTGACCGGAGTTCACCGCGAACGGTTCGTGGTGAACCGCGGCGAACCGTTCGCGGCAAGTTCGCGGACGGTTCGCGACATCACTAATCCTTAGTGTATCCTCTCTTCATTTCTAGGCAGAGGAATCTGTCAGGAGCCGTGTCATCTATGATGTCTCACTTAAAGGGACTGTATAGTCACCAAAACAACTTTAGCTTAATGAAGCAGTTTTGGTGGATAGCTCATGCTCCTGCAGTCTCACTGCTCAATTCTCTTTAGAAGTTAAATCACTTTGTTTATGCAGCCCTACTCATACCTCCTGGCATGTGACTTACACAGCTTCCTAAACACTTTCTGAAAAGAGTCATTGTAACGGACCGTTTTGCACACAAACGGTTAAAAGATGTTTAGGCGATATTCCCCTTTCAGATGCACAAGCAGCTACTGCAAGCACCAATCTCCCGAACTGCAAACTACACGAATCCTCCAACTCCCAAACAGGAAACATACGAACACTGGAAACAGCCGAATAGGAAAAGCATACAACCAGCTTACACTCATGGCAATCAGCATACAATCCAATTCCCCCAATAACGAGACGACACTTTGTTTTTAGGGTCAAGCAGAAACTGGTTTACTGGGGCTACCTGCCCGGCTTTTATGCAGGTCTCCCACCTGGTGGACACTCCCCTAGGGGACCAGATGGAAGACTGGGACACAAAGGGTAAAAGGACCAATCACAGACTTACACATTTCAACAATCCCATAATGCATCACAATCCCTCCTCTCTGGCCTGGAGATAATTGGGAAGTAATCCAATTATCTCCAAGGACAGAGGCAAAACTCCATTACACACATTTTCAGTAAAAAAACATAAAATTACGTACGGTTACCTTTATCACATAAAACACACACATTCTACCTATCCCCAGATAGCTTAGATCTGAGCGCACATTATTACCGAATGGCGCTCAGATCACATACATACAGTTCAATCGCCATTGAGCCAAAGTCTTTTCCATAGTCTTTCATTACACGAATAGGCTCCATGGCATAGCTATCTGGGGTGATGCTGTTCATACGGTCAAACTACCGAATGAACAGTCATTCGGTTCCACTACTGAATGCAGAGGTAAGGAGGCTGGCTGCTCAGCGGTGTTCGCACAAATAAGTGTCCGTTTCCAGTTCCATAGTTTGGGTGCTGAACACCGCTGGCCGTTCGGGAGTTAAAATGGCCGCTTCGGCAAACGAACAAAGGCCACCCAGCGTTCGTCAATTAAGCTGCGGTTAACCGCAGCTTCTGGGCGGTCAATTGACGGCACACTCCAGTTCCCAGGTGGTCGATCTTTGGGTACTTTGTTCGGTAGATTGAATCTACCGAACACCCCGGCAGAAAGGTACAAATATGCCTTTCTGCAGGGAAAATAAAAGGTTTTAAATGCCGGGCCATAGTCTAAGGGCAGGAGGCTGGCAAACAGGCCCCTCCAAAAACCTGTGGTTTTACTTTCGCCACAGTCATCTAATGATTACACTTCCTTTATTGCAAATTCTGTTTCATTTTTTTTTTTTTTTAATCTTCTGCTCTGTTAATAGCTTCCTAGACCCTGCACGAGCCTCCTATGTGTAATTATGCAATTAAAGTTCAATTTACAAAGCACAAGATAAAAACGTGTAAAGTAAATTATATCGCATCATGGAAGTCCTACCAATAAAAATGTAATTATGTAACTAAAGTTCAATTTACAAAGATAAAAACTTGTAAAGTAAGTTACATCTGATTGAAAATTAAACCATTTTGTTTTCATGCGTGACTGTATCAGTGACAGCGAGTGTGGCTAGGGCTGCATAAATGAAACAAAAGTGATTTAACTCCTAAATGGCAGTGAACTGAGCAGTGCAACATCAGAGTCATGATCTATATGCACAAACTGCTTAATTAAGATAAAGTTGCTTTTGTGACTATAGTGTCCATTTAAGGAAGGGAATATAAAATGGACTCTGTCTAGTTCCACACTGAGATATTTCACAGCTCTTATCACAAAGATACCTTTTCCATCAGCTAAGATAAAAAACAGATATGAAATGGTAAACATGGCTGCCAGAAGGAAATCCGTATTCTGCCTTTGTCCTGTTTTGCCATTTTCAAAGACATTCATACTCCTTACTTGTCTTAAATGTGATTTTTGAAGACAATGGAATTTTGGATCAAGTGAAGATTGTGTCCCCCTAGGACATAAACTTTACTTGACACAAATTAAGTATATGCTCCCCATACATAGTTGAAATAAATTAAAATGCATATTTAAAAAAACTAGAGATTTATTGAATGACACATTTAAGAAAAGAAAGTTAGATTTACTAAACAGGAAACTGCTCTGTAATATGCAGAAGCAAAGTGTTAAATGCGTCTTTGCCAAACCAATCTCTCCACATGAATATTGCATGAATACGTTGGAACACCCCTTTTGGTCTTGATATGAACCTTACATTTATTCCAGTAAGACTGTATATGTTATGTGAGGGCACCAATTGCGGAGACAAATCGGTAATTTGGATCACTGTGATTGACACGTTCATAACTTAAATCCAGTGCCGGTTGGGTATTTTTGTAGGCAGCCAAGAAATCACTGTGCACTGTCGAACCTATGCTCACCAGCCGTCGAATAAAAGGAAGGAGAGTTTCAGCGCTTCTGTTAGGAACAACTTCCATATACCCAACAGTTGCCATTGTTTCCATGTTCACATATTTCATGATGACCGTGATGATACTTTATTTTATGACTAAAACAAGATTCATCTACTTGAACATAATGTCCAGGGCTACCGAGCAAAACTGGGTTAGTCCGAAAATAGACACTGCATACTTCACAATAAAAGTTATAAACGTCAACTACAGTGCGTTCAGATATTTCAGCCAGTTGTGCAGCTTGTTTTTTAGAGGTTTCCTGAAACACGTAGACACTTTTTCAGTGAGATGTGCGATTTGTCAAAGTAAGAACCCTTTCTGATGGCTGATGATGATGATGCACAATTCTTGTTAATACATTTCCAGGAATATCCATCAGTACATTGGCGACGAGCAATCCAACGCAGAGGTTGATGGTGTTTTTTTCAGTCCAGATTGTTTGCAAGTAAATAGCGATGTGTCATGAACTCAGTGACATTGGTTTTATTTGTACCAGCTATAATAGGCTGGAGTGTGGTCTCAAAGACGTGTCGATCCATACCCTAAGAGTGACGTATATACCCTAAGAGTGACAGTAGTGTATATGCCATAAGAGTAACAGTTGACGTGTTGAAATCAGGAGGGCTAAACGTCTGTGTTCAGAGCAATATAACCTTGTAATGCATGGCAGGCATTCCTTCCATACTGCTGTAAACACAAATTTGACCATACATGTAAAACTAGAGGGGTTAAACTAATTTACATACTTGGGCTGAGTTAGGACATCCAGGCATGCAGGTTAAATTATAAAGTAAAAACCTTAAGAAACACACAAACAAAAAAACACCATCCACAGTTTTAATAAGCTACAGAGATTCATGTACTGTATACAAATCACGATATATTCAAACCCCAATTTAAAGCACACACACATTGCCTCTAAGTAAAATACTAAGCAGCAATCCAGGTATCCTCAATATAAACACTATTATTTTTTGGTTATTTTTATTATTATTATATTTGGTTTCTATTATAGCAGGGTAAGATAAACAGAAGAGATGATGAGATGCCTGAAATTGTTCCTTAATTTGTGCCTCTAGGTAGACATTTAAAGGACCACTATAGTGCCAGAAAAACATACCAGTTTTCCTGGCACTATAGTGCCCTGATAGTGCCCCCACCCTTAGGGTCCCACTCCCGCCGGGCTCTGGGGGGAGGAAGGGGTTAAACTTACCTCTTTCTCCAGTGCCGGGCAGAGAGCTCTCCTCCAACTTTCCTTCCTCTTCTTCCGTCACCGGCTGAATGCGCATGCGCGGCAAGAGCAGCACGCGCATTCAGTCAGTCCATAGGAAAGCATTCTCAATGCTTTCCAATGGACGCTGATGTCTTCTCACTGTGATTTTCACAGTGGGAAGCGCCTCTAGCAGCTGTCAATGAGACAGCCACTAGAGGCTGGATTAACCCATAGGTAAACATAGCAGTTTCTCTGAAACTGCTATGTTTATTAAAAAAAAGGGTTAAACCTAGCTGGACCTGGCACCCAGACCACTTCATTAAGCTGAATTGGTCTGGGTGCCTATAGTGGTCCTTTAAGCTGACATACACTAATACACTAACTTATGCCCTAAAGCAAGCATGTCAAACTCGCGGCCCACAAGGACGTCTTTGCGGCCCGGCGAGCCGCGAGTGCATGCTCAGTGTTATAGCAGAGCAGGCACCTGCTTTCTCCACATTGCAGGTGCCTACTCTGCTAAAACTTACCCGGCCGGGGAGGAGGGCCGCGAGGGAGCTCAGTGTTCCTGCTCCTCACTGCTCCCTCGCGCGCGCCGACTGAAGTGAAGCCGGGCGCCGGAATATGATGTCACTAAATCACTAAACCGCGCGGGGGAGCAGTGAGGAGCAGGAAGGACCCCTGGGAGTTGCCCCACATCGGCTGCATAAGGTAAGGAGCAATAATGAAAAGTATGTGTGTGTCTGTGTCAGTGTGTGTGTCTGTGTCAGTGTGTGTGTGTGTCTATCAGCAAGTATGTGTGGGTCTGTGTCAGTGTGTGTTTGTGTCAGTGTGTGTGTGTGTCTATCAGCAAGTATGTGTGTGTCTGTGTCAGTGTGTGTCTGTGGCAGTGTGTGTGTCCGTGTCAGTGTGTTTGTGTGTCTATCAGCAAGTATGTGTGTGTGTGTGTGTGTCGGTGTCAGTGTGTGTGTCTGTGTCAGTGTGTCTGTGTCAGTGAGTATGTGTGTGTCTGTCAGTGAATATGTGTGTGTCTGTCATTGAGTGTGTGTGTCTGTCACTGAGTGTGTGTGTCTGTCTGTCAGCAAGTATGTGTGTGTCTGTCAGTGAGTGTGTGTGTGTCTGTCT